CTCTGCCGCGCTACAGCAAGAAGCTCTGGGCACCCTGTGGCCCTTGCTAAAGCCAGCCTGCAAGACACCACATTGGGCATGCCTCCTGTCTCCTCAATTTTGTAAACTGCGGGGGCCTCCTTCCCATCTATCTCCTACTTCATGCTCCATGCTCCAATCAATGACCTCCTCTTCAGCAGCACCATGGATGCCAGGACGTCTTCTCCCTGAAGKGTCACCACATCGGAGTAGCTTTGGCCTTCCAAGGGACTGCTTTGGAGGCCAACCTTGTTGACCTATGTCCTGCTTTTTGCTTCTATATCTCCTGTCCACTTTCTCTCACTTTGCATTAAAATGAGTCTGCAGCCAATACCTGCCTGTTTTTTGTCCCTAACAATGTCCTCTGGGATTCCAGTTCTGCCCTTGTCGCATGGCCCATGTGATGCAGCTGAATGGAGTCTCTCGCTTTGCCCCACAAGATCAAACCTGAGTTATGTTAGGTCTGTGCATTCGGAGGTGGTCGGCTCTTGTCCTGTCCTCTTTCTTTTGGGTCCATCCAGGACACCCCCTTGGCCAGCAGGCAGAGGGAGGGCTGAGGGTTGCTTCTTTCCAAGCCCGTCAAGAAAGGTTTTGCACATTTTCATGAGTTCATTATAATTGTCAGCAGTTTCTRGTTCTCTGCATTTCGACAGCTTTTCTCCAGAGCATTTATTCTCTGGTGCATCTCCTAATATAATACAGTGACTTATTTGGAGCTACCCTAAAAATTGGTCACTTTTTACTATTTTTGCTGATTATGGCCCATATTAAACCAGACTTTATACTTCACAGTTAGCAGGTGCATGGCTTAGTACTGTTTTGCTAAAGCACTTGCCGTTGCTTCTATTCTCATGAGTTAACAGACCAAATTTATCCACTCTTCAATTGACTTCCATCTAATGCCCCTCAGCTTTATGTCACCTGCTTGTGCTATAGAGCTCTCCCAATTGATGTGGCAATGCCATTAAGGCGAGCAGATAATTAGAGGTCTTCTGAGACTGATCCTTTTGTAACCAGCCTTGTAACCTCCTTCTGTGCCTGTATTTCTCATATACCATTGACAGAGATAGAATGGGTATCTACATGTTTATCCGCTCTGTTTTGCAATCAGACATGAGCTCACCTTCCATGGGCCTCCAACCCAAACGGAAGCTATATAACCCATTAGACTGATGCTAATACTTCTAACCACGTTTTTTTTTCTTAGGCTGGGCTCTTGCCACCTGAGGCAATAGGGAACTGGCTGCTGCTCTCTCGTGAAGTCTAGAGCTCGGCAGTTCAGCCACGATGGAGTATCATTTGAATAAAGGGTCTCTTAGAGGCTATACATGAGAGTTATGATTGGTACAAAAGCAAAAAGAAAAAGAAATCCTACTCTTGTAAGGCTGTCCAGGAACTTCCCTCAGCTGAGTCTATGGGATGGGAAGGGATTGCTCAGCACAGGAGAAGCCCTCAGCTGAGGAGGCAAAGGGTAACAGCATCAGCTGTCATCTATTATCTCCTTATAATAAAAGCACATTTCCTGGCTAAAGCATACTGCCAAAATGTTGTTGATTTCAGCTCCTTTCTACTTGCAGCACAGGGCGGTCTGACACACCAAGTTACACTTGGAGGTAATGAAAACACATGATAAAAATCTGTCTCATTTCCATAACACTGGCAGAGCTTCTAACTTGCAATTACATAGCATTTTTTCAGTGCAAGAAATTATACACTTGCGCATACCATATTTCTTTGAAAGAATCCTAGGCAAGTAAGATGTAGAGACTGTGAAGTATTGATTTCTTCCCTTTTTACTTCGCCTGCTGACTCAACCACTTGGCCACAACTTCCCTGAGGCAACAACTATCATAGCAGCACTTAACAATAAAGAAGAGGCAGTACTTGATCTTTGCTCACCAGATACATATCTAAAAAATTGCCTATCATTGTTTCCCTTCTGCCTATKGTTGCTTCCCCTAATCTACTTTGAAGAGACTTCAGGCTAGGTTTTTTACTTCAGACAGGGATATAKTGCTATGCTTTCCAATACATGACCTCCTCTACATGTAGATACAAAAATAAATRGACTGAACTTTAACTACTGGGATGGAAGTGGGCAGGGGGGAAAAGGAGGAAAAAAAATCCTGGAAGACCAACTTTTACAGTATTTAGTGTAGAAGAGATTTAAAGAGACAATAACCCCTCAATAGGGATGAAAAACTGGCAGAGAAACTTCCACTACGAGTCCAAGCACCTCCCTGCAAGAATTTGGAGTGCAGAACAGAGTTGTTAAAGTAGGATAAGAGACCTCCATATGTTCACTTGATTTTGAYGCACCTTCCAAGTAGTTGCTACACATGTGCCATGGACAGAGGACAGACTTTGACCCCCCAGGAAATGAGAGAGACACTTTGGCTGCAGACACATTTTATTGCAAGGTGAGAAAAGGTAGACTGGAAACAAACATAAAAGGACAAAGCGGACAGCAGGTCAACTCRGGCTTCAATCAAAGCCATACTTCAAGCTACTCCCATTTGGTGGCTCTTGTAGGGAGAAGACAGTGTGACATGGATGGTGCTGCTTCAGGGTTGGCTGCTGCAAGGCACATGGGGGAGATGTAGCATAAGTGAGGGACAGAAGGAGAACTTGAGAGAAATGAAAGTGTAGAGAGTTGGTGAACATCTCCAACTCCACTGTATCCAGTGGTAATTCTTGATGCTCTGTCCTTTTACTCAGGAGTTGCTCTCTAGATCAGGGTTGCATGTCCTCTTTGCCGGTTCCTCCTCACTTAGAAGCTCTTTCTGGTGGATTTAGCAGGGCCCACAGCTGCCACGGCGGTAYCTGTTGTACCGGTAGGTGTAAGGGCTGCAGTATCCAGCCCCGTAGGATCTACCATAACCATAGAGACCCCTGTAACCTAGAGAGGAGCCCCCATAGCCATAGAGACCYCCATAACCCAGGGAGCCTCCATAGAGACCCCCGTAGCCCAGGGAGGAGCCTCCATAACCTCCATAGAAGCCCCCGTAGCCCAAGGAGGAGCCTCCATAACCACCAAGCACTGGAGCTCCAGAGGAGCCCACAAAGGAGTTCTGTGGGGAGTTGCTGAGGATGGGGCCGGGGAGGGTGACCACCACRGGAGGAGGCTGGATGACGGTGGTGGAGTCRGGGCACTGCCGCACGCAGGGCTCGTTGCAGCTGTCGGCCAGGGGCTGGGGGCGGGCGATGCCGCAGCTGGTGGTGGGACACAGGTCGTAGCAGGACATCTTGCGGGGATGGAGGCAAGTCAGCTGTATGACAGAGAGAGCAAGGCATTATTTACATTCCTGAAAGTGCCATAAATTTCCCTGGATTTCCTCAGACAGGACTACTTTGAAGCACACTGATKTACCCACAGCGCTTACAACTGAAAAATGTGGCAGAGTAGTAAAATTGGTTGCTCACACCCCTTGGTGAGTCACCATCTCAGGAAGGACGAGGACTCCAAGGATGGAGTGTGTTGTTATTCATAATTTTGTGACACTGACTCTTCCTTCCGTGATCCCTTTTGTGCTGAGCTTTGTGGGAATGAGGATTATAAGGAATTCCCTATTCAGATTTACTAACTTGTTTAATGAGGTTGCTCCAGGAAAATTGCAAGGGTTATTATACCTCATTTCCTCCCAATGCACAAAAATGTTGAGCTTCACMGCGCGGCTTTTTCCTTCTGCACTCAGAGCTCTTTTAAAAAAAAAGAAGATCTCACTGCAAATGATTCTTCCCATTTACACAGAAAATCTGGTAGCTCAGCTGTGAGCTCATTTATTCCCTCTATGTCCCTCTATTCATTCAAGCAGTCTACTGCAATGTCTTCTCAATAGTAGCTCTCATTTCCTATATCCTATGTAGTTTACTGCCTTATCTCTGCTATTATTCATAACCATATGTCTCTAATGTATAAAAGCCTCCAGTAATCTGGACTTTTTTCCACCYCCTCCTCTTCCAGTTACCTAGCTAAAAGAAATAAAAACAATTCCATATTGAATTAGCTATATCATTTCCTTGGCTGCTGGAAGTGAATAAACAACATAATTCCTTCTCTACCCTATAAAGAAACTTCCACTTTGCTTTGAAAGGAAATACCCATCTCAAATGTGAAAAGAGATAGAACCTTTAGTAATTTTGGAAAGCTTCTATCTTTTCTCCTACTACTTGATCCCAAGTGGAAGATACCATCCTAGACTGAAGCTTGCAGTAAAGAGATATTCTAAGTAGTCCAAAAATAAAGTGGTGTCACACTTACCAGTTCAACAAGAAGACCCAATGGCGAATGAAGCTTGGAAGAACTGAGCGAAGAGAGCTTTTATATAGTCCCTCGACCGCCTGGGGAATGAGAGCTGGTTTCATGAACGGGAAGCTAGTTAGTTGACACTGCACATTTTTTGCATTGATACCTCCGCACAGTGTTGAAATTGTTTTGCTTTCTGTTTATTGCCTGATCCAAATTATCATGTAACATAACAAGCTCATTACATCACTAAGGTCTTTCATGTGAAACACTGATGGGTAAAATGAATGCATCTTTCATCTTAAAACATGATTCATGAAATTACCATCAGTTTTCTATCCTCTTTAGAGTTGCACCCTATATTAAGCAGCTTATACATATTTACTTATTCTGTTGCTGGCTTATATGATAATGATGCTCAGGCATTTATCAGAAACAACCTGCTGTGAGATGTTTCTTTCCAAGTCCCTTACAACAAGCATCCCTCCTCTTCAAGATAAATTACAGTTTATCATTAAATGCTCAGAAGGTATGTAATCATTAAATACTCAGCAGGTACGTAATATTTTGTCAGATTAGTTATTTCTACCCGAGATGTGATACAACTCATATAGGAGCTCATAGAGATTTTTTAGCACTCTTGGAGTGAATTTTTGTAGGGGAGCATCCCTTAACACATAGTAGCTGCTGTCCCAAACATCCTTTAGGTCTCTTTTGACCTTCAGACTAGAACTTAAAGCTCAGTTTGGTTCTGAAGAGAGAGAGATTTATATTCGTAATGTTTGGGGTGGAAAACCCAGTTCACATTAGTTCATCCAGGAATGTGAAACTTATTGGTGTCCTGTTTAYCCATCTTCTCTGTTTTCTCTCTGCTCTTCTCGTGATAAGTCTAAAAGCATTGGGCTCCATGTCTTTGGGAACCACACATTCCAGCCAGCAAGGACCGAGGGCATCTCTCAGTAGGGAGCAATTATAATCTGGAAAATAATCAGAAAATTCAAACGCTGACTTTTGCTGAGGTTTCTGTCTTTGTTTATGGCACCATTGTTGGTTAAGTCACCAACATAGTTATCTTCTTATCATCTATTATTTCTAAATAAGCTTCTCCAACCCTTCAGAAGCACTAGATTCCCTGAGCTATAAAGCTGTCCCAATAATTTCTGAGAAGATTCAAAAAGATTTTCTAACTCTTCACAACCATTCATTACAGTTTGTACACACCATTTCATAATTACATTAAAAGTGTGTCTGCATATTTACACCCACTATTATGAAATATTATCTCATTCAGATAGATATGTCAAGGTCACTTTGGTCTTCCTGATGAGATCATGATTTATAACATTTCTGGGAACTTCATTTCTTTGATTTTCTTTAACTGAACTTCRCCTTCCTTTTATTCAAGCATGCATTGCTTCAGAAACAGAAATCTACTTATATTACCTGAAATATTAACAAAAAAAACCTGGGATACGATGGTTTGTGTGCTAACAGAATGAGTCTTCAAAGGTCACTTGTGCTCCTAAGAGAAAACTCGTCTCCAGGAATACTGCTGCCTGAACTCATTAAACTGAATGACCTGCACCAAGACAAAAGAAAGGATAGTCTTCCTATCATCTTAATTACCCAGAACTCCCGAAGAAGCGGTGTCAGCTAACTACCTCCCGTAACTCTAAAGCAATGAAACAAGACAAAATAATTCTGCATATAAAACCCGGAGATAATGATGATCAGGGTGGTGGAAAACTCATGTCACGCTATGTGTGGGTTGGAAGCGCCTGCAACATGAAAACTATTTCGGCRCTTTGAGGAGTCGTGTCCTACAATTTGGGGCTGGTGCCTAATTATGAGCTCATGTATAGGATGCCTAACACCCCCCCGGGCAATCTGGGAGCTATATAATGGCTCACTCCACTCAGGCTTCCTATACACTTCTCTCAACCCAATTCACTGAGGAGAGCGGGTAAGTTATTCTGAAATCCATAAAACTTAACTTCTTGTTAATAATTATTGATTTTAGCTTAAGGTTAGGTTCTTTCTCTGCATTGCCAGGTCATCAATGTGTTTTTCCTCCAGAAATCACATTGGTTTCCCCATTCCATGCTGGTCCCCTATAAAKGCAGGCTATAGAAGCAAACAGTGGGGATAGGCTGAGCAGTTTTGAATCTAGTTTTAATGCTGCAGAGAGATGCTAGACCATTCTAGAAGATAAAGAATTGTTCCTATAGAGGGCCACAATTGKGGCAATGTTCAACAGAGATGTGTTCAGTTTTTTAAAAGGAAATGATCCAGCTCATCAAATAGAAACAGACTCTAAKGCAATACTTCAGAAACTAGCCTTAGTGTGAGGTGCAGAAGGAGCGAGTGAATTAGATATGACATTGATGTAATAAAGTAAACAGGCTCTAGCTCCCAGTGCAAAGAGTATTATCACAGACAATATACTTAGATTCTGGCTTTATTATTGATAATTTGTTTCACTGTTGAGCATCATAACTGTTGAGCATCATAACCTAACGTTTGATATTTCTTATTGACGTAAAACAACCATGTCTTGCAGACTTAACCTCCATCYCHGCAAGATGTCCTGCTACGACCTGTGTCCCACCACCAGCTGCGGCATCGCCCGCCCCCAGCCCCTGGCCGACAGCTGCAACGAGCCCTGCGTGCGGCAGTGCCCYGACTCCACCACCGTCATCCAGCCTCCTCCYGTGGTGGTCACCCTCCCCGGYCCCATCCTCAGCWMCTYCCCACAGAACTCCTTTGTGGGCTCCTCWGGAGCTCCAGTGCTTGGTGGTTATGGAGGCTCCTCCTTGGGCTACGGGGGCTTCTATGGAGGTTATGGAGGCTCCTCCCTAGGCTATGGGGGTCTCTATGGCGGGTTTGGAGGTTCCTCCTTGGGCTATGGGGGTCTTTATGGATACGGAAGATCCTACGGGGCTGGATCCTGCAGCCCTTACTCCTACCGGTACARCAGGTACCGCCGTGGCAGCTGTGGGCCCTGCTAAATCTGATGGAAATAGTCCCAGGGCAAGGAAGAACCAGCAAGCAAGATGCGACGGGTTTGCACCTGAGGAGCTCGGAGCTTCCACTGCTCTGGTTGAAGACTTGGAGCTCTTGCCTTCAGCCCCTATTAAATTCTTGCAGTTTCTGACCTAATGCTTCTTTCCTCATATCTCCCAAATGCCTGGGGTAAACATGTCACAAAGTTGTTCACTTTAAGCTCCTATTTTTCCATTTCAACCTCTAAAAGATCATATATGGATGTATACCTGTTTGGAAAGCAATTTCATATTCCTTCAGCTCTGGAAATGTCTTATTTTCTCAGTATCATTAAAAGCTTGCTGCATCTAATTTGTACTTTCTGGTTATTTCCACCCCCCAAATCCCAATATATTTATCCTGACTATTTGTGTGATAAAAATCTCACCTCTATACATATTCAGTAAAAGGGCTGCACATGAGAAATGCCCTGCTCAAGGTAACAGAAAAACAGGGAATTTCAAGTGCATAAACATAGTATGTGAGCTCTCAGCTCAGAAGGACTTTGTCCTACTCTCCTTCTCCTCCTTTATCACATGCATATTCTTAATACATTTGATAAGTTTCCCTGCTGGAAAGATAAATGAGGTACATCTACTAATCACACATATTATTGGTAGAAGAATGAAACAATATATTAATAAATGTTAAGTATCCTCTAAAAACAGTATGTAATTGGARCTTAGTGAAAAGTCCTTCCAAACACATCCTCCAAGCACTCATCTTTTTTAATTTCAGGTGATCATCTATATATCGAAAGTCTTTCCTCAGAGAGGGTCTCTGAAAAAAAAGTGGATGAWTTTTTTCTTAGACACTTTAAGAAAGTTTCTAAGGTATCTAAATAGAGTGTAGGCAGAATATCACTATGGTTCCCGGAGAGCTGAGAAGATAGAGAAGATTAGGATTCTGTACAGGTTTTTCCAACCCTGAACTAGGAAGTGAACTACACATACCGCTCCCCATAGACCCCCACTTTKTCTTCAGAGGAGCCCTCACAACAGAAAAAGCCATTTTTACCCATTTTGTCTGCAACTCAGCCTTCTAGTAACAAATGACCATTAAGTTTTCTCACCTAAGAGGGCTCTCAGAGAGCCTGTTCTTCTCTGAAGGTCTCCTTTCTCTGCCCATAGCCTCCTGCCTGGGCCCTCAGTAGCTCCATTTATCCATACCCTTTTCCCACCTCTCCTGACCTCTCTAAATCCCTTCCCACTCAGAAGCATCACTCCCACCCAAGCCTCTCAGCTGCAACCTCTTCCCCTCATAATTTGCTTTGGATCCTACTTCACTGCAGACATAGAAGAAGCTCTGACTCCTTCTGTGGTCTTGGACTAAGATCCAAGTGACCCCTAAGGAAAAGGGAATTCAGGATAGTTATTTTCTGGACACTGTTTTTACTGTGACCCAGTCCAGCTGGGAAGGGGACACTGGTGCTCACAAACATCAGTAATAAACTGAGCACAGCTAAGGCAGATTAACCTCATTGATGCCTGGGCCATTTCAGATGTGCTTCTGAAACCAGAACCTCATCCTAAATAATAATTGGATTTTTTTTTCCTTCAGTTCTCCTTTTATAAGTGCCTACAGACTTAAAWTTTTTTATCCGTAATGGTAGAAATGAAAACCAAAATTCTAGTTGCTTGATGCAAAGAAGAATCATTTTAATGAGGATTAAACACTTGCAGAAAAAGCATTTTGAAGTAGCAAGAACAAGCAGCAGAGTGATGAGAGTCCATTTCATAACGTGTCTTCTGCGCCGAAGAGCCGTTTTGCAAGGAATTAAGTTACACACTTTACCCGATCTGTTCCACACGCAGGTGGAAAGAGCAAAGAGCCTGTAAGTGGAGGGTGGAGAAATTAAAGATATATTGTGCATGACCGGCTTGGCTGTGGTGGGACTGTAGTGATCAGAACGTAGCAGCGTTTCTTGGGGAACTCTGCTGTGGATCAGGGCTGCATGTCCTCTTTGCCGGTTCCTCCTCRCTTAGAAGCTCTTTCTGGTGGATTTAGCAGGGCCCACAGCTGCCACGGCGGTACCTGTTGTACCGGTAGGAGTAAGGGCTGCAGTATCCAGCCCCGTAGGATCTACCATAGCCATAGAGACCCCCATAACCTAGAGAGGAGCCCCCATAGCCATAGAGACCCCCATAACCCAGGGAGGAGCCTCCATAGCCTCCATAGAGACCCCCATAGCCCAAGGAGGAGCCTCCATAGAGACCCCCGTAGCCCAGGGAGGAGCCTCCATAACCTCCATAGAAGCCCCCATAGCCCAAGGAGGAGCCTCCATAACCACCAAGCACTGGAGCTCCAGAGGAGCCCACAAAGGAGTTCTGTGGGGAGTTGCTGAGGATGGGGCCGGGGAGGGTGACCACCACGGGAGGAGGCTGGATGACGGTGGTGGAGTCRGGGCACTGCCGCACGCAGGGCTCGTTGCAGCTGTYGGCCAGGGGCTGGGGGCGGGCGATGCCGCAGCTGGTGGTGGGACACAGGTCGTAGCAGGACATCTTGCWGGGAYGGAGGTTAAGTCTGCAAGACACATTAATGAGTTGATTAAAAAGGGAGGAAAGAAGAAGAAAAAAGAATTTTTTTTTTTGAAGAAAAAAATAATTACAACATCTTGCATATAGACTTATAGAAGACTATGAGACATTGGGTAGGTAGATGGATTTCCCAGTTTGCAAACTTGATGTCTTATTACTTCATAAGCCCTTTTTCTGAAAACAAAAATTCTCAGAGTTCTGAAAAGAAAAAGTGTCTACATACACAAAATTACATGAGAAACCTTATATCCATGTCTCAAGTGCTTTCTCCTCAYGAAGATCTTGCAAATAATTTAGACAAAGATTCATACACAATACCAAAACCTAAAGCAGGGAAACAAATTGACTGTTTCCAAAGCCTTCTGGTGATTCAGGAGGAAAACTTTGGCTTGAGTTCAGTGCTTCTAGATGAGATGTAATTTATTATATATATTTTAATTACAGTGTCTTCTCCTTCCCACTCATCCCTATTTTCCTGGGAGCTGTAGGTACATGGATTATGAGATGTTCCCTGTTTGGATTGCTCACAAAGCAATTTGACAAGACAATAAAACATCAGATGGTGGAGTTATTAACCCCGTTCCCAGCTAGGAAGCTATTGTACTGAGACAATCTGGAKTTTTTTCAACTTAAGTCAGTGTTCTAGGCTCTGATAACTTTCAAAAATCTCTTTTCAAATCTTTAGTCCCAGGATAAACAAAATCCCCTCAATAAAGCCAAGAATTCAGTCCAGTTTGTCTTCTCTAAATTTAGCTATTTTCCCTAAGGATGTTTTTACTTGAACAATTGCTTTAATACATGATATTTGAACTTCTCATCTCTATCCACTATGTCTTGCAATTCCCCAACATTATTCTGGAAAAGAACATGACACCAAGAACACAAAGCAGAGTAAGAGCAGGAGAAAGCAGAGGACTTTCATAGATGCATAGGTTGCTCATCTCAGGTTGGAAGATCAACTGTGATGGTGACACCCTTACTAACAGCTGAACCACAGTCCTGCAAACTTTTGGAAAAGATTAAATGCCTTCCAGATAGGAAGCATTGTACATGTCCCAGAGTTTCTGATGCCAAACTAGTACCTCTACACATCCCTTGAACAAAACTGGCATTTCTGCCCACCCAGAGCCAGCTTTTGCATCTTGATCTCAACGCAGCCCAGAAATCCTCTACAGAATGAGTGGTGGACATCCACTGAAGTTGAGATCTGCAGTAAAAAGATGCATTGGTAGATAGAGAGAAGAATTAGACTTACCCAAGCTGTGGAGAAGTCAAGTGAAATGTGTGGAAGAGCTATGAGAGAGAGGAGCTTTTATACTTTATCATAGCACCTAGAGGTGTAAGAATAAAATTGGTTGCCAGCCCAAATTTCAGGCACGTGTAGGCTCTAGAGATGATGAAATTGCTTTGTTCGTTGTCAGGGTTTATGAGTCCTTTCAAATTCTTCTGTAATAGGGCCTCAACCTTACATTAGATTACAGAGAATTCTTTCATCTTGTGTATTGTTGGGCAAAATTAATATCTGGCTTCATTCCAGTCACTGCCTTGGAATTAGGACAGAAATTAAGCCAGCTCCACTCATATTAATTTAACACCATGAGAGCAACTCAAGTGTTTATCAGAATCACAAACTGCTGTCATGGACAAGATTTTTAAGTGTGTGTAATTCACATTGCAATCTGCCAGGACAGAACTAAAAGATTGTCAATGCAACGTGCAGGAAGGTTGTAGATGCTTAGGAGCTTTGGATGCTTAGGAGTTGGTGACTTAGAAGACAAATCTTTATTTTCTTTTGGTGGTGGTCGTATTTTTTTCTTCTCTTCTCTTCTCTTCTCTTCTCTTCTCTTCTCTTCTCTTCTCTTCTCTTCTCTTCTCTTCTCTTCTCTTCTCTTCTCTTCTCTTCTCTTCTCTTCTCTTCTCTTCTCTTCTCTTCTCTTCTCTTCTCTTCTCTTCTCTTCTCTTCTCTTCTCTTCTCTTCTCTTCTTTTTTGGGGGGAGAAGGAAGAAGATTGTTTGTTTCTTTTCAGAGATAGACATGAAATGTGTTTCCAAGTTAAATAAAACTACAGTGGGGTTATTGAGCTGATCTGTAGTGATGAGCCAAACAGATTTTTTTCAGGTATTGCTTGTCTGCCCTTATTACTGCATAAATGGTACTTGAGAATATTTATTAGTGCTAAGAAGACTTGACTTTTTTAAGTACAGATGGATCCTAGGGTGTGAAAGGAGAAATTTGACAGAAGGGCTTTGAATTGTTGACTTTGATTCTGAGGAATTCATGATCATCTATAATACACTTCTGTTGCTTCATGCCATAGGTCTGAATTGGGCTGAGGTGGCAGTTTCTTCTGCAAATAGAGAACAATTATGTACTTGGAACGTATCATGTGAAACAAAGGTTGCTTCTTCCCTTGTTTACCGATGTATTATGTTAACACTGCAGACTCTATGTCATAAATTATCTCTAAATTATGAGCCGCGTTTTTGGCCTTTGAGGTGGCTAGAGCTTTTCCCGGATGATAATATTTCCAAGCTTCTAGGGGACAAGTCTTTTCATATGCCACAAACTAATGATTTGGGAATGAACTCTTACAATTAGGCTAAATGAATGTACCATTTCAGTGCCTAGCGATTATGAAATGGCATCACATTAAAATATGTAAGTCAAGGTCGTTTGTGTCCTTCATGACTGAATCACAGACATTTGTGCATCCTCACTTTTCTTCAGTATAGAAGTATGGAAAGAAATATAAACTATTTTAAAGATGTACCATTTTGTAAGCTGTATAATCCACACATGATTTGTGATTTGCGGTTGCACAACATCACAGAAACAAAAGTTTTGGTWATTTTCTCAGATTTTTCCAGTTCTACCAATTCAACAGCCCAATGCAGGTAATGGTTGCTCTGTCTCTATTATGACATATCTTCGGGTAGCTTTAGCAAGTTGCCCCCATTCAACTTCCATTTCTATTTCCTTCTGCATCGTCCTCAAGACTGCGTGGTCCAAAGTATTGATGGACTCCAGAAGATTTTGTATTAAGACCCAGAAGATTGAATGATGCAGGTGACCCAGGCTTAGCAAATGAAGTGTTTCATAACCTTAAGATCARAAAGAGCACGCCACAGAGACAGACAAAAGAAACCACTTAAAGACCTTAGTAGACCCTTTAAGGTCACAGGGAGTTTTTGCCGGTCACCACACGTAAAGTTGCTGAGAGTGAAAATGATAAATACTCTTAAAGATAACCCCAAAAGTTGCTCCAAAGAACTCTACTCAGTTATCTGACAGCCTGGTTTCAATAGAAAGATCTGTGCTCCTCAGGTGACAGCAATTCTTCTGAGCCACCCAATGAGCCACCTCAAATTGCCTTAATGTGGAGAAAAGTTAGTGTACTTCTTACTGTACCACCATGGCTGTGAGTGGAATGATAACGTGATTATGACCTGCAACAATTAGAGGCAAAAGAAGCCTCTGTGATGAAATGTGTCTTTCACGTTTCATGTGAACTTGAAACCAAGAAATAAACARATAGTCAGCAAAATTTTCCGGACCTATGTGTCCCATTAGTTTTGGGTTTGCCTCAATTACGCGTATGCGTAAATTGCAGCTGGGATGATCTCCCTGATCTGGTGAACAGTATAAAAGCTCTCCCCACTCAAGGCTCCTCATTCCACCTTGCTAGCCTCAGTTGCCTCGGTGAGAAGGGTAAGTGTCATTCTATGAGTTCTCCTAAACTTCAGCTATCTCTCTTCTATAGTTCACTTAAGGTTGGAATCAACTATAAGTATTCTAAGTCTTAGTAACGTGGGGTTATTCCTTTGTACATTTGTCTTTCTTATTTGGTCTTGGACATTAAGGTATTCAGGTTTTGGAGARTCAAAGCGGGATTTTCAGAAATGGTCATTTCCTGCTAATGCAAACATCAGCTACCAAAACTATTAAATAACTTGAAATACATCAGTAGAGAGCTTTTTCGAGTCATCAGGAGTTTTTAAAGAATATTGCATATACATTTTTATGYGATGTTTTTACATGTATGCATGTGTTTGTTGAGGATGCAGGCTATCCAGGAGTAACATGGAAGCATCATCTATGGAAATACTGGCATGCTGAGGTGTAACTAGGAAAAACTGACCTAGCTTTCATGCTGTCTTGCTCTGAGCAGGCAGTTGGACTAGATGACCTCCAGAAGTCTCTTCTGACATCAAATTTCTTTGAGGTGGAATCAAATCCTACAGCAACAACCTTTCAGAAGAGCTTAGATCTCAATGTACTTATTTGTAGTAGATACCTAGCCCTAGTTGTCTAAGTGTGCCTATTCCCAATCTAGAAAATCAGGCAAATAATCTTTTCACCCACCCCGTGACTCTCAAACTCCTTTGCAAGGTCTCCAGGGCAGGGAATGTGTCATTTAAGCTGTGTTTAGAGCRGGCTCAGCAAACCATCAACATGATTTTAGTTATGGTTTCTGGAAGCCTGTTATGAATTAGTACACTAGAGCTGTTCTTCCAGCTGGCCATTAGTTCAACTCATGAGCTCTGCTGCTTGTCAGGCTRGTGTTCATTATTTTGGCCAGCATAAAGTAGAGATAAAACCACCTTTTTTGGCACAGCCCTTGTAAGATGGGCTGCAAAATTCAGTGAAAGGAAGTTTGCGAAGAAGGTGTAGATAATATTATTATAGTGTCTGGTCTATCATTGTGTCTTGCAGACTTAACCTCCATCCCMGCAAGATGTCCTGCTACGACCTGTGTCCCACCACCAGCTGCGGCATCGCCCGCCCCCAGCCCCTGGCCGACAGCTGCAACGAGCCCTGCGTGCGGCAGTGCCCTGACTCCACCACCGTCATCCAGCCTCCTCCCGTGGTGGTCACCCTCCCCGGCCCCATCCTCAGCAACTCCCCACAGAACTCCTTTGTGGGCTCCTCTGGAGCTCCAGTGCTTGGTGGTTATGGAGGCTCCTCCTTGGGCTACGGGGGCTTCTATGGAGGTTATGGAGGTTCCTCCTTGGGCTATGGGGGTCTCTATGGTGGTTTTGGAGGCTCCTCCCTGGGCTATGGAGGCTCCCTGGGCTATGGAGGCTCCCTGGGCTATGGAGGATACTTGGGTTGCGGAGGCCTGTATGGATACGGAAGATCCTACGGGGCTGGATACTGGGGCCCTTACTCCTACCGGTACAACAGGTACCGCCGTGGCAGCTGTGGACCTTGCTAAACACAGCCAGAAAATCCACAAGAAGAATAACACGAAGTCTCTCCTTTCTTCCCTTTAGTCCTCCTATTTTACTGTTCTAGGTTCAATTTTTTGGCTGTATTCTACTTTATCATGTCTGATAAGGTAGTAAAACTTGTAACTTTGCACCTTTCACAATGTAGTTAATACTGGCATGCTGAATATCCTYTCTTGGTACTGTAAATTGTTGTGTCCCTTTTCATTCTCATTAAACTTCTGTTGCATGATTTGAAAAAAAAAAAAAAAGCTTTTGTGGTTTTCTGTGCTCATCTCTTCGGAGTTTGACAGCTTCTCTGCATAAAACTGCCTCTTAGATGTTGGGTTGTGATACTATTGTGCAAACCCTCCTAGACCTGTTTCATAATTGAGCTAAATAATATGGCCTCAGCACCAGCAATAGGATAGCAGCCTGCTGTGAAAATATTTCAGTACATTCCCCACTCCTGARACCGACATAGAGTGACCAACCTGGTCCATGCACCACTTGCTGCCTAGGGCTGAAAATCCCTATGAAAGTCCCTATGGAAGGAGCCCTTGAGCATAGGCACTGGCAGCAATCCTGCTGCACTGTTCTGGAGGAAGGGAAAAAAAACAGATAACCTGGAACGGTGACAGCAACAGTGATGGCAATGACCATCTGGATGGAASTGACCAGCTGGGGCACTTCCCTGGAGTCAGGACACAGGCTCCTACCACCATGGGCACCTGGCTGGATGCACTCATGGAGCAAATGTCACAGAAAGGCATCTCTCTGAAGAGCAGATTGGTCAGAAACCTGATGGGAACCATGAATTAACACGGCTTAAAGTCCCCTGGAATAGCAGAAAAAGAAATAAGATCACATGGTGATGGGAAACATGCAGCTGGCTCAATTCCTTATAGCACTAATTCCTCCAGCTCCATCCCATCTAACTGCAACTAGCCGTTGGGACCTGCTCAGATCAGTGCTGCTCCTCAAAGTTACATGAGCCCTGTAGGAAAAATAGCTTTTAAATGAGAGTTGCTCACATGACTTGAGGTTGTCACACGCCCCATCAGGCAATTGGCTGCTCTTATCTTGTTCCTGATAAAAGGCAGCTCACCTGGTCTGATGTGCAGAACTGATCTTATCCATCAAGGAATACCTGCCCAAAGGCACAGCCAACTCCTCACAGCCCAAAGGCCATTTCTGCACCCGGTACAGAAACTGTTCCTACATCTCTTTCAGCGTTGGCTTTCATCTATTTAAATTGATTAAAGACAGCACCCAGATCAAGTAATTAACTATCAGAAACCAACTAGAAATGAACTCTCTCCTTTTAAATGTGACTGTGATGGAGGCCTCTGAAATGCAAGGATGTCAGCAATTTGGAGCAATCTCATCTTGGACTTTCCCAGCTGGATAGTAGGCTACATCGCTGTGAACTGAGCTTTGTGCAATATGTTGTTGAAGCCAATAAACCTAAAAACCTGCCTATAACATCACCTCCTCCTAAGGGATGGGAAAAGATTAAATTAAACTTACCA